GTTTTTTTTTTAATTAGGTATACTGACTCGATGTTTACTCACAGTCTTGTCATATCATCACCTTTCGACTATGTTTGGTCGGAACTCCATTGATAATCCCTTTCCACACTGTTCGGTTCTTTATAGCTGTCCCAAGATCACCAATGTCCAACATGACTCCCGAGCTATGGTGTCTGGGAAAATCAATTTTCGTGAGAAGACACTTCCAGAAGGATGCCATGGGAGTAAGGATAAGACGATTTCCCTGTCCGTTCGGTGGCAGTGGCCGGCAAACTGTAATCGTTTTTCTTTGATCATAAGTGAGATTAGGTCTCAGGTCTCCGTAAATTGTGTTAAACGTTGCATTGGATCTCCAACATTGTCATATACTTCTACTTGGATCTGTCGACTCCCCGTGGAGAATAAGGTCACACCCAAAATATGCTAATTGTTGCGGCTGACACTTCAGTAGTAAGTAGGTTTTCATGGCTAACTAGTTTAGAATTCAGATTTATCTTCACCCAGATAGATTCATAGCAAAAGTTAGATTGGTGAAGAGATGGGCTCATATATTTCGAAAGATATTTGTGTGAAAGTGAAAGCAATAACCTTGGTTAAATTTTGAAATTTTAAAGGCCATATTTTGGGATTTTAAGACTCTTTTGGTGATAATGGTGATTTTCCGATACAAGTCATACTATTTAACCCATAGCTAGAAGGAGAAAAAGTGGATTCATACCTTTCCCAAGGTATGCATCCACATAAGGGAATATACCAAACCCGACTGGAGTTTGAACTCGGCTCCACGATATACCGTTACATGCACATCAACGCACCTGGTATTTCAGAACGGTCGCCTATCTAGGTACTGCTCAGTCTTGACGTTGCTTAACTTCAGCGATTGAAAGAGAACCGGTGTTTTAGCGCGATATCACCGTAATCTCGAGGTAACTGGAAGTTGGTTCTACAGAAGGATGTTGAGAATAACGTAAACAGAACATACGGGGCATACGAAGGAAAATAGACATAAACACTTCACTTACATTTAATATGAGAAAGAAACAGGTTATATTGAAGGCGAAAGAGAAATATCGAGTAACCTTCCTAAGGTGTTTATGTAAATGGATGGTAGTACAGCGTGTGGGACAGTTAGTAAGCAATCATTGCTCGAAGCTACAATGGATAGGAAGTAGTGGAAAGCCGTGATCGATCACGTTCTGAAGAGAAACGGTATATAGAAAAAGAAGCACAACGCTTAACGGACATGATTTTAGTCTGGAAGGCAAACAATATGAATAATGTAAAATATCTATCTATCTATCTATCTATCTATCTATCTCACTCTTTCTCTCTCTCTCTCTATTTTTATATATATATATATATATATATATATATATATATATATATATATATATAATATTATAAATTAATTGATATTAAATATGGTTTTTCCGCTACAGAGTTCTAACCATGTTTCAAAAATGGAAAGTCCGAATTTTCGAAACATGGTTAGAACTGTGTAACAGAAAAAAACATATTTTAAATCAATTAATTTATAATATTAATGCTCTGTAAATTTACATTGAGCACTATTTTGTAAAAATAAAAATATCTATAAGAACACCGTATTATATATCTTACTGTTCTTTCTTTTTATTTATATATACATACATACATACATACATACATACATACATACATATATATATATATATATATATATATATATATATATATATAATCGAACCTAGAAAATTCATCCCATGTAAAATCCCTAAGACACAAGGTGTTTCTGGGTGTGAAACCGTTAGAAAAAGAAACAATATTAAGGAACGAGAACAATAGAAGAACAATTAGGAAGACAGTAAATAATAATTGACATTGCATTTACATTTTTGGAGTTCAAAATTGGCTTGAAAGCATGGCACCGGAAGCGAGAGAAGAAACTGTTAGCATAGAACTTACGGTTACATCTAACCAATTCAACTTTAAATTGATGAGACCTTTTGGTAAGCCAGTACTGTGCTTAAATTCATAATGTCTAGGTACAATAGCAAAAAACTAATCCAAATAATTACCATAATAGTATTGCATTTATAGAAAAGGCACAAGGAAGCAACTTTACGGTAACTGGAAAGTGACTGAAGCCGAGACGCCAGATCAGGTTCAATAATATGTTAGATGATTCTTTGTATTTTATCAAGAATCTCTAATTATATAGCAAGAACACCAGACTATATGTGGCAGCAATATTCAAATTTCTTATTTATTGATTCTAATCTTTTCCTAAAATCTTCAATTTGCTGTCAATTTTCTATCTGCATTTCGGGGGTGAGGGGATATTTTTCCCATTATTTGCACATAGACTATTTGTTATAGTGAAAAACACCTATTCTATAGTTAATAGACTCTCCCACCTATAATAAGTAGGGCTAGTAGCAGTCGTTAAAGGGGCTCAGTGGGTCGGTCAGTCAGTCGATGTCGGACGACCGTTAATCGGATACTAAAGTATCAGCGACCACAACTAGATTTCTCTGCGTCATTACCTATTATATCAAGTTCCTAATGTTTTGTATGTCGAACCTATTTTAGGGGCGACTTAGTGAAATACAAGCCTCCACTGTGAAACTACTCTGCAACACTATTGTCCTCAACTTTGGTTTTATTATCACAGCCGTTGGGATAGTAACAACAAAGATAGGGACAATAATTCGCATGTAAATAATGCAAATAATGATTCCTATTTTTTCCAATGCACGCCATTTTGTTACTGTGCTAATCATTATGTCTTAATAGTAAGTCTAATCACTTCGATAAGGTGAAATTAGCAGCTGATCTAAACAGTGACCGAAAATCTGTCGTTAACTGGAGCAATGATTAGCATTATTAGATTTAAAGGCTCCAAAATAAAAATTCTCTCTGTTTAATCATATGAGGAACCCGTTTCTGTCTTTCTGATGTTCACTTCTCGCGGTTCCTCGCACTAACGTGAAATGGAAAAATTATATTGGATCAATTGTTAGGTGTGCTGCTAGGAAAATTGGTTCACTGTGTCGTGCTAGACAATTTTTCTCTCTAGCTATATATTTAAAGATTCATGATGAAATCCAAAGAAGAATTTACAATGTTATTGGTTCTGATCTGGTGTCCGAGCTTCGGTCAATTTCTCACGGCCGTAATGTAGCTTCCCTGTGCCTTTTCTATAAATACGTTCATGGTAATTTCTCTGATTAACTTTCCATTCCCCTAGGGCACCGAATACTAATATAAGGTCTCATAATTTTACACTCGAATTGGTTAGATGTAACTGTAAGTTCTTTGCTAATAGTTTCTTCTATCGCACTTCTCACTTGTGGAACTCACTTCCGGTTTCTTGCTCTCCAGCTAAATTACGTCTTCAGAAATTGAAATCCAATGTCAATCGTTAGCTACTGTCTACCTGATTCCTCTTCTTTTATTGTTCTTTCTCGTTAATAATATTTTTCTTTTTCTTTTTTTTTTTCACGCTCAGGAAACCTCTGTGTCTTGGTGGCTTTGTTGCCTTGCATTGGCTGAAATGATTAAAAACAAACAGAAAAATAAATCTCAGCTTTCTTTCGCGTTTGAAACCTTTGAAATTTTTAAAAATTTGATTACTTATTGTCAAGAAAATCTTAATTAGCTTTTCAATTTCTTTTGCGACTTAAAGGCTCTGGATAATATGAAACCCATTATCAATTTTTTCATATTCAATATTTTCATAAAAAAATCCAATGTTTGTCTCTTTTAACTGATATATCCTTTCTGTTTTCCGATTATTGTAGTAAGTACTCTTGTCTAACTCCTCACACATTGTCTACCTCTTCTGAATCAGACTTTTCGATTTTCTATTTATTTTTAATTTACAGTTATCCTATGTTAGTGTAACCCACCCGTCTGCCATTGCTTAGCAACAAGTAGCTAGAATGGCTTCATCCTCTACGCGTTATTATTTCCTCATTCGGCTGAAATACAAGTATAGCGTAGAATTGAGCTATATCTTTGTGCGTACTTACTCTAAGTACAACTGAATGCAATGTCATTGATTTGGTCCATAGCTATTATAAGTAGTGAAAGGAAATGGGAGAAAGATGACGTCAGTAGAATTTACATGTTGGGAGAGAGTGGAGTAATCCTTCTTAATAGTTACAGGCCCGCCTCGAGGAACTTTTCAAAACATAATATCGGGAGAGAGAGAGAGGGGGGGAGAGGGAGAGAGGGAGAGAGGGGAGATAGAGAGAGGGAGAGAGAGAGGGAGAGATAGAGAGAGGGAGAGAGAGAGGGAGAGATAGAGAGAGAGAGAGAGAGAGAGGGAGAGAGAGACAAAGACAGAGAGAAAGAGATAGATAGATAGAGAGAGAAGGGGAGAGAGAGAAATAGATATATAGATAAAGAGAGAGAGAGAGGGAGAGAGAGGGGAGAAAGAGATAGATGAGAGAGAGGGAGAGAGGGGAGAGAGAGACAAAGACAGAGAGAAAGAGATAGATAGATAGATAGATAGATAGATAGAGAGGGGGGAGATAGATAGATAGATAGATAGATAGATAGATAGAAAGAGATAGATATATATATATAGAGAGAGAGAGGGAGAGAGAGACAAAGACAGAGAAAAAGAGATAGATAGATAGATAGATAGATAGATAGATAGATAGAAAGAGAGAGGGAGAGAGAGACAAAGGCAGAGAGAAAGAGATAGATAGATAGATAGATAGATAGATGAGAGGGGGAGATAGATAGATAGATAGATAGAAAGAGATAGATATATATATATAGAGAGAGAGGGAGAGAGAGACAAAGTCAGAGAAAAAGAGATAGATATATAGATATATAGATAGATAGATAGATAGATAGATAGATAGAAAGAGAGAGGGAGAGAGAGACAAAGACAGAGAGAAAGAGATAGATAGATGTATATATAGAGAGAGAAAGAGAAAGAGAGAGAGAGGTGGAGAGATAATCGGTTATTGTGAAGTTTTCTTTTGCTGAATAGAATATAGGCTGAAGGCTATATCACGTTGAATACATCACGTACGATCACCGAAGTTAAACAACGCTGAGCCTAGTTCCTACCTTGATGGGTGACCACTTCGGAATACCAGTTGTTGTAAGCTTGGATGTGCCGGTGATGCAGTAGATAATGACTGGGAATTGTTAATCAGAGGGCAGAGATCGATATCCAGCCGGTTTCATTATATTTACTTACACGCAAATACGTTTTTAGAAAGGTATAAACCTATCTCTCCTCCAGTTATGGGTTAATTAGTAAGATAGCTGTCATTAAATCATTATTATTTCCATTAAAATTCTTACAGTCTAGAAATATTTTCGGGCTTTAAATAACCTGCAAAAGGTTGTCAAACCGTGAAAACCAGATCAATCAAATTGGATAGAAAACTAATATTGATTCCGTAGATCAATATTGTAACTAAGTAAGTAGAAATATGAAAGGCCCTTTTTTTAATGAGTAAAAAAAAAAAAGAAATATTTCCTTAAAATAAACAACTGATGTCTTATTGAAGATCAGTATTTATTAGCAATTGCGATTTAAACTTTTTATCCGACGATACCGTTAGCATTCGTCAATGATTTGAAGGAAAATGACGAATTGGCAACCCAAGGACTCAACATGAACATTTCCAAAAACTGTGATCTTGAATTGGAATGAAAGCAGTGATGACACATAGCCTGAATCCATTATAAAATTTAAAGACGCGGATTTAGTAAATACTAAACAATTCAAATGGTTCCGTGTCTGGAAGAGTTAAAACAAATTTAGTAGACGAGGAAAATGAGTTGGAAGTTTAGTCATCTGGGAAGTGCTTTAATAAAAGATAGAAAATGGGTACCAAAATCCGGATTTGCATTGCAATATAAAAAATGAGTCATTCCTAAAGCCTAAGCTTAAATACTACAAGAAAGAAAAAAAAACTGTACTGGACTCTTATGTCATTTCAATCCTGCTATATAGCTGTGAATGCTGGACAATCTTCTCTCAGATGAAGAGAAAACTGGAAGCAAAAAATGTGGTTCTACAGAAGGATGATGAGAATACCATGAATGGATCGCGTAAAAAAAGAAGTCATCAAAATTGAAACAAAAAGGACACATGCTCAGAATAATATAGAGGCAGTTAAAATTTGTTGGACAGCTCATGAAGAAAGGGGGCATAGAGAATTTGACACCCACTGGAAAAATATGCAAAAAAGAACAGGAGGAAGCAGTGGGTTACATATCTGATGAGCTTCTGTAATGGGAGAGTGAATCAAGGAGTGAGGGAGATGGCAAAAAGACAAAGGTTGTTAAGACTTACAAGGAATAGGAAGTTGTGGAGAGCCATGACTGCTCACGACCTAAATGGATAAAGCACAAACAAGAAGCAAAGTGCATGCGCGAAGCATAGTGGTTATCGGTGCCGAAAATTGAAATCTGTGGAATTAAAATTCTAGCCGTGGCCGTTGTGTTGGTTTCCCTAAATACTTTTCCAAGATTATGAATCAATCGTTTCTCCGCCTAGGTAGGGTTTACCAGCAGTGCAGATTCGCCTTGTGTTGGGGAAAAGAAGGACAACTTTGACTTCAGAAGCGGTCAGCCGTGAGGCTAGCAATCCAACTTTAAAGAAAACACAACATATTCACATAATAAGGCTGTATGAGTCTACATGGTTAATGAAACATTCATATTAGTCAACCTAGGTTTTCTTATGTACGCCTAAGTCCGTTCAATATTAATATATCACCCTCTTCACATCTATCTATCTATCTATCTATCTATCTATCTATCTATCTATCTATCTATCCCGGTCCCTTCAATATCTATCTATCTATCTATCTATCTATCTATCTATCTATCTATCTATCTATCTATCCCGGTCCCTTCAATATCTATCTATCTATCTATCTATCTATCTATCTATCTATCTATCTATCTATCTATCTATCCCGGTCCCTTCAATATCTATCTATCTATCTATCTATCTATCTATCTATCTATCTATCTATCTATCTATCTATCTATCTATCAATATCAATATCTATCTATCTATCTATCTATCTATCTATCTATCAATCTATCTATCTATCTATCTATCTATCGGTCCCTTCAATATCTATCTATCTATCTATCTATCTATCTATCTATCTATCTATCTATCTATCTATCTATCTATCCCGGTCCCTTCAATATCTATCTATCTATCTATCTATCTATCTATCTATCTATCTATCTATCTATCTATCTATCTATCCCGGTCCCTTCAATATCTATCTATCTATCTATCTATCTATCTATCTATCTATCTATCTATCTATCCCGGTCCCTTCAATATCTATCTATCTATCTATCTATCTATCTATCTATCTATCTATCTATCTATCTATCGGTCCTTCAATCTATCTATCTATATCTATCTATCTATCTATCTATCTATCTATCTATCTATCTATCTATCTATCTATCGGTCCCTTCAATATCTATCTATCTATCTATCTATCTATCTATCTATCTATCTATCTATCTATCGGTCCCTTCAATATCTATCTATCTATCTATCTATCTATCTATCTATCTATCTATATCTATCTATCTATCTATCCCGGTCCCTTCAATATCTATCTATCTATCTATCTATCTATCTATCTATCTATCTATCTATCTATCCCGGTCCCTTCAATATCTATCTATCTATCTATCTATCTATCTATCTATCCCGGTCCCTTCAATATCTATCTATCTATCTATCTATCTCTCTATCTATCTATCTATCTATCTATCTGTAAGAATTTACTCTTTGCTCTCCTCTTTTCATCATATATTATATTCTCTCTTTGTATTTCTATTCAAATATTAACATTATCTTTCTCTAGCCCCACTCACTGTGTATTCTCTCTCCAATTTTTATCTATACTTGTAGGAATTTTATTTTTATTGCAACTATTGATTGTTTTTATTATACAATTATTAAACGAGAGGCTGTTTGGGTAGTGTAGGGGTTATCGGTGCAGAAAGTGAAATTCGGGTGTTGAGTTCAAATTCCAGTCGAGGCCGTTGCGCTAGCTTTCCTACAATCACCACTGGCCATACACGAATCCATCACTTCCCATTCCAGCTGGAGATTAATAGCAAGGTAGACAGGGCACTCTAGTTTTGGTTGGGAATCAGTTTATGAGAACGACACCTAGTCTAGAAAAAGGACAATTGGAAATGTTGTCTGTGTTCATAAAATGTATCGAAAGCCAAGAACCTTTATGGCAATGCGATTTATTCACCGGTAAAAGTTTGTACTAAATTCTTATTTCGATTCTAACCAATTTTGCATCGCCTTAATTTATTAACAGTCTATGAAATGAGATAATTATACCAAATTAATTAAAAAAATAAGAAAGAATATGGATGTGTGCGTAGTGTGCCGGTTATCAGTTTAGAAAGTGTAACTGTCGTGTTGTGATCAAATTACACCTGAGGCCGTTTTCCGTCGTTTTCGCAAAACTAGCCTTTTACAAGGTTTGAATCCCTCTCTTCTCTCTCTAGTTAGGTGTTAATATCATCGCGGTTAGGGTTTTTTAGAGACAGAGAATATTGAATTCAAAACCGGTTACTTATGGAATCCAGCAAATCCGTCCTATAAATACAAATCTGCTTGCTACAGAAACCATAGCCACAAGAGCCAGCAGTTACCTTATAGCACATAGGTTAGTCTACAGCAGTCAGGGGCAAAGTGCGACCTGCGGTTCACATGCAGCCCGATTGGCATTCTGAACGGCACGCCTAATTTCATGAAGAAAATAACGTTTATTAAAATGTTATTTGTTTCCTTTCGTTCTCACTTGTTTACTGATGCATAAACAATGATTAAGTACAACGTGTCTTGAATTTTGTAGCATTTCGTTGAAGGTAACGTTGTCAGCATTTTAAACCATTGATGATTTTTACCATGGAAGATCATAAGTGTAAACATCTTTTGCTTCAGAAACCGGAAACGTTAATGATAATTATTTTTCTCTAGAGAATAAATATACTTCTTTTAAAAATGTTTTTTCATCGACCAATGAATAAATTAGAAACAAATCACACACAGCAGATTGTGTTAATCGCCCTGTCATCAATAATATTATATCAGGCTTCTTTTTTAAATTATAGAAGGAATCTTTTCTCGAAAGAAAAAAATCGACTTTTCTCTATTTCTAAGGTAGATGCTTCTGCGCATGCTCTTTTGTTTTGGGAAAATGGTTGCCGTATCTGTAATGAAAAAAAAAAAGAAAATTATTAGTGCGGCCCGCCTTATGAACTGTGCCTCTTGCGGCCCATTGTTCGAAAAATGTGGCCAATGCCTGCTCTACAGGTTCAAAATACATACATACCTACATAAACATACACACAATAATCAAATCTATGGGAAGTAGACAGAAAAACAAGTATTCAGATGCTGACCGATAGTCTATTTCAGAAAAGTCAATGCTGAATCCATTTGCCGAGTTTGCAACAGTTAATTGAATAGCCGAGTAAACTTCAAAGACACTTCTAATCGCCTAAATATGAAGGTGGTGAGATTTACACATGCTGAGTGTCTGAAAGACAGTATTTTCTCTCAAGCCAGGGTCTTCTGCGATAGTGTTGAGAACACTTTATTAATGGAACTGGACGATTTGATTATTGATTCCTGACTGACAAGATCTAACGCATCGCTTTTAAAAGCAGGATCAAATGAAAGGATATTTTGTCTCTTTATTTATTCGGTCTAGCTAGCAGCGCGGACACTCATGAGTCATAAAACAGTTGGTCAATGCAGGTATCGAGCCCATCTTGCCCCATGGCTAGGTGTCCAGGGCAGTAGATCACTCGCGTCTGTGTAAAAAAAGCGTATTCTGTGTTCATGTAAGATTGTAATAATATTAGGGATTGATCTATAGTGCTGTGATTTAGTTGGATGTTGTCCTCAAGAAATGCTTATAGCTCTCAGCATCCGAGTGTAGGTTCCATCTAGTTTATAATCAAGGGTTTTAGTTAATGTTAAAGCATTGGTATCATACATTAAAACCGCCTCTATAGTGACGCGAAAGAATCTCCGTTTGAAGTTGTCTAGTAGATCAGATTTCCAGATGACATCCATTTTA